AAGGTATCCCCAATGAGAGGTGTGCATCAATTTGGAGTCCATGGAAAGTTAGCTCCTCGTTATGTTGGATCTTATAAAATTTTGGAGCGGTGTGGTTTTGTTGCTTATCGTCTCCAACTCCTAGATATTTTGTCAGCAATACATAATGTCTTTCATGTCTTCCAGCTAAAAAAGTGTTTACGAGTTCCCGAGGAAGTGGTGGAAATTGAAAGACTCCCTCTCCAACCTAATCTTTCTTATATTGAGCATCCTGTCAAAATCTTGGATGAAAAAGAGAGAGTTACTAGAAACAAAGTGGTGAAATTTTATAAAGTCTAGTGGCAAAACCATTCGGAGGATAAAGCAACTTGGGAACAAGAGAAATATATTTTGGAGCATTATCCCCACCTTCTCCCCGAAGTATCGAGGTAATGGGTTAAGTAAAAGTTTATTTCTTATCCATTTTCCCACACTAGGCACACACATGAAATCTCGGGACGAGAGTTTGTTTAAGGGGGAGAGTTGTAATACCCTCGGTGTTACACCCTAAATTATTTACTAAAACATGTCATGAGCATCATATTTATGTGTTAGTGCATGTGATAAAGTGTGTAGATCAATTTCTTGTAACCTCAAATGACTAATAAAAATGTTAAACGAAAGTTGATTCAATAGCTCTTGTATATCAAGTAGGGTTTAAAACTAATTTTTATTGAACAAAAATGCTATAGAACATATATGTGGCGCTTAAATAAAGATTGGAATATGAACTTTGTAGATGACAATGAAATACTTGCTGTAGAAAAATAACAATGCTAGCCAACATTTCTAATAGCCTAGAAATGCAACTTGGAATCAAATTCAGCTCATAGACTTAGAAGATTTTTAAGTGTATAGACAACTAGACAATGCCACATTTGGCAATTTATTTTGCGAAATTGGGTTAAGAAAAGGTGTTATGTTTTAGCTCGAGTTGGTAGCCTCATATGCCATCTTGAGCATGGTGAAGATGGTTAAGGTCCAGAAGCAACCGTTTAGTTTTTATAGGCGCTTTAAAATTCGTGCACAACACGGTCTCGGGCTGGTTGGCCGCGTGGGCGCGGTCACCACGCTCGGGCGCTCGGCGTCGCCATGCTGGCACCAGGACGTGCCTCCACGATCATGCCGACCATGTCCCGCCAAGGCGAGACCGGGCCGAGCCCACCTGCCGCGCCCCGTCTCTCTCTTCTCTCTTTCTCCCTCTGCTATCGCCGTCAAGCCGCGCCATCAATTGGCCACCGAGTGATCACCTCCATTCAATTCAGCGCATCCACGTATTCACCATCAGGTGCTCTCGCTACCCGACCCCACCTAGCCATAAAAAAGGCACTGCCAAGCTCCAATTTTTGAGTTTCCCCGCCGTTGTGCCGATAAGGCCGCGTTCGATCGTGGATGAGGGCAACCCTCCTACCGCACCTCCTGAGCCAATTCACTTGCACCACAAGCTTCGCCTTGCCTACCTCTCCACCTTGCGCACGTCAGCAGAACCGCTACCGCCTCCCTGTCATTGTTGACGTGACCGTGCCGCCACGGTGTGCCACCGTATGGCTCGGCCGCACATGGCTAGCCCTCCTCCGTCATCCTCTGCCCCAACCATCACCTCACCCTAGTCCAGGGTAGCCTCCTGATGCTCACGCGCTAACCAATTAGGCCTGTAGCTACCCCAGCTCACTAGAACAGTGGCGCCTCCATTGCAGATGGCCGCGCACCGCTGCAGCCTTCCCCAGCCAGTCATGTCACCCCGCACTGCCGCTTAGCGTAACCGTTAGGTGGTCTGTTGTAGGTCCCTGGTGGTCGGCGCAGCCGCGCTGTGTCACTGGCCGCCGCGCCGCCGTGCGTTGGGTCATCGAGGGTGCACGCGGGTGAATTAGGGAAAGGCTAGGGGTTTAAGTGAGAAGTTCTGGGAGAGGAGAAAATAATGTTAGTACTTAATTGTAAATTAGGATGAGTTCGAGGTCTATTTTGCAAAGTCGTCAACGCGTGCGGGATTTCCCAGCGCGGGCCGTCTTCGTGTGGGCTGACCTCGCATGGGCCGTGCTTGTGGGCCGCTGCACGCGCGCTGTGTCGCGTGGGCCACGCGTGTGGGCCGCGCGGGAGATTTCGTTTTTCTTTTCCTAAGGAATTAGAAATAGTTTTCTAATTTAATTTTTGAGCTGATCTTTGGTAAATCATATAAAATCGTGTAGGTGTCTAAAAATTGTGAAATAAACTTTGTTAGGTTCCTAAAATTGTGCTCTATTTGTTAGTGTATTTAGTTCATATATATACATGTTGGTACCAGAAGCTATTAAATCATTTGAGAGTGCTTAATATTATTAGGTTAAATATTGTTGGAATTTTTTTGGTAAATTAGTGATAGCTTTAGTCCTGTAATTTTTATGGTAGCTTCATTGTATTATTGTATATTCACTGTAATTTTTGTAGCCTTAGAATAGACTAAGCATTATGGTAGTTAAATGCTCTTTGTTTCAATATATATTAAATCACTAGTACCAATAAAGATATATCTTTAATTTGTAAAGCTAGGTGTTTGTTAGTTGAACTCAACAATTTACTTCGTAAAGATGATAGTTAGCTTAGTACCTTAGTCATTAGAGCTAGCTTAGTAGCTTAGTATGCGTATTTTTAGTCTAAGAGTTGTTGTTGTCTAAATGTTAAGTGTTGCATCATCATCGCATGCATGTAGAGAGCGAGTTGGCGAGAGATCGTGACCATCGGCGATCACGAGTTCGAGGAGATCATCGAGGAGTACAAGGATATTCTCGTGCAGGAGGAGGTCCCAGAGCCACCACTGACTGACTCAGCTGACACCACAACTGTCCAAGGCAAGCCCCGGTGCATAACCCTTATTTTTAATAATCACATAATATATATATGTGTGTGTGTGTGTGATGTGCATATACGTTACAGGAATTTTATGAAAATCACGTGCATAGATATATCTGGCCTATGAGTCTTACTAGTGCAGTTTCGAGTAGATGCTATGCTTAGGTTTTCGTTAACGTGAGTAACCTGCCGTTACTCACAATAAGTGATTATTATATTTACTCTCATGGTAAAATGATGAAAGAAAAAATAGAGACAGGGCAGGGATATGGTATGAGTATTGGTGGGTGTAACAAGATGTGTCCCGCGACCAACGGGGCTTAGCTTGGTTATACTGTTTTCCCTGTTCATGTCGATTAAGGACCATCCGTTGCTATGGATGGCAGTCAAGTCACAGACTTATTATCCTGAGCATATACTTGCTTATGGGAGCGAGAAGGCTCATTACGCTCTTGTCGTGGGTTCCGGCTCTTTCCGGACCGACTGATTGGAGGCGGAGAGAGATGGAGGTCTAAGCACCATACTGAGATTGGGTCTCAAGTGTAGGGGCTTGGAGTCCAAGTTTGGACGGGGACCTGGACCCCGTGATAGGAGTGAAATGGGTTGGTTTTGTTTGTGCCTAGGGTATAGATGGGGTGTGTGTTTTGGGGTACCCAGCTAGGATACATTGGTGCACGAATCGTCATTTCCGTGAGACGGTACAACTTGGCTATGGTCTAGCACCGTAGTAAAAACTGAAAGATGAAAGATGGTGAAATAGTTCTGATAGCTCAACCCTTGCTTGAAAGTAGAACAGGTGCTAACATAGAATGGTTAACTAATGAAATAATCATGACTGCTAATAAAACTTGATTGTAAGGATGAACTATTAGTAATGCTTTTCGCAAACTAAAAGAAAACAGCAAACCCATATTACCTATCATATCCATGAGAGTCGGGAAACTAATCCCACTAGTCGGGTAAGTCTTGCGAGTACATTGTGTACTCGGGGTTTATTTTACCCCTGTTGCAGGTGCAATTTGAGGAGTAGCTCTTGTGTGGAGGATTCTTCTGGTGGACACAGATGAATCATTGTATCGTTTTCGCTAGATGTTTATTTTTATTCCGCTGTTTAATTATCGCACTATGAACTCTGGTACTGTAATAAATAATTTTCAAGAACTCTTGTTGTATGAAATGGACTAAGTATTGTAAGCTCGTACTCATTATTGAATTCTGGATGTAAAACGTGGATTGTTTCGAGTTCTTCCTTGGGGTGTGCTCAACGGAACTGCCCGATGTAGCTCACTTTCGAGGTGCTTAGTGTCTAGTGGAAGACGAGCACCTCCGAAAGCGTGTTATTTCGGACGGTTCTGCCACAATTTTCATGGCTAATGATGTATTCATTACTCTAATTTAAATGTTTTTAACATAATTCCTAATACATTATTATCTGATCTCACTCGTGACAACTATTCTTATTGCAAAAAAAATTTTTTGTGTCAATGGTGTGAGCACCTGGGATATGGAACTTGAGGAGGTAATTGAACTTGTATGCAGCTAACTAAACAAGTGCATGTGTATCTCTGGATGCAGGTTGTTTCTAACCAAACAAAGTCCCTACTCAGCCAGGTTTTAGGCATGCTGTCAACCAAACGAGAAGCACCTGCATGCACTTAGCCTGTCCCTACTCAGCTTGGCTGCTGGATACGAGCCGAGCTCGCATAGGAAACGAACCAATCACGCCCTGTAGACACTTAGCCTGTCCCTGCTCAGCCTAGCTGCTGGATACGAGCCAGGCTCGTATAGGAAACGAACCAATCACGCCCTAAAGAATCCGTAGTTCCACTAGCGATCACAAATGTTTACTGCAGTTCGATCAGGGGGCAGTACCTACAGAATACAAGCTAAAGTCCATCTGCGCACATAGTCACATAGATTCACCTAGAATTGTGCCATAATCACATCAATTTGCTTAAACTCCTATAGTTTCATCGTTGTGTAAGTTATACGGCCGGAGGCCCAATCAGCTTCAGGTCAGCAGCAAAATTTGCAATGGACCAGATCTAAAGTGCTGGGCCTGCACGAACGGATAACAACGAAAGCTAAATTTCCATCCCCTTACCAAACCTGCACGCCTACACTATGTGTCGGATACCTTTAGAGCCCAACATAGATTACGAGTCAGTAGGGCCTGTAGCAGATCTGGCCACAGCGTTTTCTTTGGCATCTTTGCCTGTAGCAGATGTGGCCACAGCGTTTTCTTTGGCATCTTTCTCCTGACCGGCTACGTTTCTTTCATCGTTCCTCGTTTCCTTCTGGCCAGCCACGGCATTTTCTTCCTTGTCCTTCATCGTTTCCTTCTGGCCAGCTGCAGCATTTTCTTCGTTGTCCTTCATCGTTTCCTTCTGGCCAGCTGCAGAATTCTCTTTATCCTTGCTGGTTTCCTTCTTGCCAGCCACAGCATTATCTTTCTCTCTGCTCTTTTCCTTCGGGGCAGTGACAGGAAAATCTTCCTCCGGCTGCCTATGCCACCGGAAATTTGCTGCTTCAATCCAGCGTGGGTGGACCAAGAACTTCTTGTTGTCAACACCCCAGCGGGCCTTCTCTGTTCCCAGATCCAAAGTTACAACATGGGTGACACTGGAATCCACATCTGTGGAGCAAATGGCACCCAGATACTCGGCCATCTTCCAGAACATCTGCTCCTGTGGGCGAGTATTGTTTGGGAACACCCGACTGAAGACTATTTTGCAGCCTTGTAGTATTTCCTTCCGTACCACCTTGATCACCTGTAAGGGGGCATACAAACACAAGAAACGGCCAATTATAAATGAGATGTGTAAGCCACGCCACATAGAAGATATATTAAGCAAGCTATAGTTCAGTTATTTTAAAATTGATAAAAGACAATTCACCTAATCTTAAGAAAAACATAAATAGTTCTTGAAGCATAAAAGGCAGCATGAAGGGTATATGCAAAGCCTACCTGTCTTACATCCCGTGAAGAAAGATCAGTTTCAACAGCCTGCATGAGAAAGTACAAGGACAAATAATTAGAAATGAAAAACTTTTGTCCTTACAAGATTCCGGTCTACTGTGAGGAATAGAACATAGAAAGAAAGAGTGATAAAATGTGATAAAACTTTGAACTGAAGAAACCAACCATGTCAAAGAAACTCGCGTGTATGCGCTTCAAGACATCTAAAACAGTAGCCAAAGCACCATCACTCTCCCTTTCATCTTGCATTGACTCTGACAAGGACCTAAAACCAAAACCAAATTGGCGGCAGCTTGAAGCAAAGAAATGATATCTCTCCATCAGAATGAGGTTCTCTTTATGCTTCTGCCATACCTGAAACAAAATTCCATTTTTCAGGCTGACCAGCCATGAATGGCAAATGACAATAAAAAACAGAAATTTTGATCACTCTAAGCACGAATAACATGATCCTACCAGCTTCTACATATTGAGGATAATCATTACGCTTTGATAATTGAGGATAGATGTTTCTATTTTTAAATCTATATGTTGGAAGCAAACAGGAAACAAAGAGCAGTTACTAACCAGGAACACTTACAAGTGATCAGAGTATTCAACAATGAGACATTAAGATCGAGCTTGGCCAATGAATTCATGTCAAATAATGTGACTTTTGGTTGCATAAAATAAAATTGTTCTGAATCAGCTTGCCCTATGGATAGAAAATGCACATACTTCTGAAAATAGTCATTTGACAATAACACTTACATACTCAGTGTCATCAAGAATCACTGCAACACTTTCAGCTCCAAGAATCACATCAAGACCTTTCTGGTGTCGCTGAGTGCAATCTGAGTTCGAAATCACTTTCGAAGGAAAATAGATGTTACTAGGGTCAAGAAGCTTCGCAATTTCAATTGCATAAGCTTTGTCACCCATGGTGTATATATACATCTCAAACATATTGCTTGCTTCTTTCAGAAATTCTCGGACAAATGGTCTCAACTTTGTGAGCATCTGCATTGAATCCAGTGAAAAGATGCTTCTGTTTGGATCATCTGCATTTAGAAAATGAGGGGTTCACTAGCTATGTTATATACATTCATGGATAAGCAACAACAGTTTCAGCAAGGGTCAAAGGACATGATGAAACATAGACAACTGCAAGAAAATAATCATTTGCAATTATAGAAAAGTTGTTAATCATTATTACTCTGCTTAATAGGATAGAAGTTAGCAAGTACTTGTAAAGTTCATTTATGGGTAATACCAACTGATGCTAACTGCACTGAGCCATAAAAATGTTTGTCTGAGAACAAAAGATAGAGGGACTAGGGGGCCCTAAAGTTCTTAATAATTTTAATCTGTAACTAAAACCACATTATGCAGGAATAGGCTAAAGCATATAGACATGCTATGAGTAGTGGCATTGAACTTCTATTTTCTATCGTGAAATGCTAGCTGCTTATACAAACATATTGGCTCTGCCCTTCGCTCAGTAAACTGTATGCATTCGAATCCACATTCAAACATACATGCCATCTTTTTATTTCCATTGTCTAGCAAAAGAGGCAACATTGGCCAGTACCCACTACTCTATTTTCAAACAGAATTTTGTAAACAAATAGAAATTTTATGATGTAGTAGATGTATAAGAGAAAATGTTACTCATGCCATCTTTCAAATAAAATCATGTAAAAATCAAAAGTTGACAAAATATATCATGACAACATAATGGCATCTATATAGTTGCAATCAGAGGTGGTACCTTATGCTCATGGTAATAAAATATAACTTCAACAAAAGATGACTACAAGTTCACAAAACTTATTATACAATTATATACTATTACCTTTTGAAGCAGCAGTCTGAATACCCAAATCTTTTTCAGCAGAAGAAATATCTTGGAGTTTGGTCGAGTTGATCAGTGTGTGATCCAAGTCCAAAATGAGTACTAATTTTCTTTCACGCAACAGATTCTTCAAATCAGCACCACGTAGTCTGTCAATTTCTGAGGTACCTAGCCTCAAGCCCTGCATTTTAATAATCCTCCTAAATTTGTAAAACTGCTCAGAGACAAGGCAATGTGCAAGTGCAAGTGCAACTGGAAATGAAAATAAAATGGCAGTACAGCGCCCACAAATTTGCAATTATGTGTGCCCACAAATACAGGTGCCATAAGGGAACTCCACATTCTGAAGTACCTTGTGGATGTAACCAAAAGCAACTCCTGAAACATTTTCCTCGTCTTGTGGCTTGCCACATCTAAAGCAAAGTCCACCAAAATATCCAGGATGTGGACATGCCTTGACCTGAACATTTTTAGATGCACCTGAAAAAATGTATTCTCAATAATTTAACATGCCATCTATCACACATGAACACTTAGACACTCAATGCTCAATATATGATGAACTAAGCCCAAGCCAATTGCAACAGAAGAAAGAAATGAAGTTACACAACATTTTAGGGATATTCTAAAAAGAAAATATAATAGCCACCGGCATCTGGATAATCTGTTGTGATTAAATTCAGAAATATAAATGACAGAAAGTGGTTTATATTCTACAACTCTGAAAGGGCAACCATCTGTACAATTAGTGCAACCTACGAACAAGGATAGCGAGTCAACCGTGCAACACAATGCAGAAAAATATAATTTAGAACATCACATTTGAATTTTGAATTAAATGCATAATCATGTCCCCTTAGGTTGCAAAATGACACTAACATATTTGCAAAGTGAGACTAAGAAGCATACCAGTGGGAATTTTGTCATGCCTAACTGATGTTCCTTGATCTTGGCGCTGTTCCTCCACTCTACGCCTTTTGGTACTGCATTTTGCATGCAGTTGACAGCAGTCAGATTCATAGTACAAAATCTACGAAACAAGTAACGATTGGTTCTTCCTTAACACAACTTCATCCCATGAACTTTGTCCCTTCGTTTTCTCCGAATACTAGAGTGCTCTCCCCATTCCTCAATGATTACTGAAAACTCTTACTCTTACTACCCAGAATGGAAAGGCACCGCACTTGATACAACATCTGATGCAGCATTTTTACACATGTGCACTTTTCGATACAATCAATACCTCCATGATAGCATAACCATAACTGCTGACTTGCAATTCTATTGATATCCCATTTGTTTTTAGCATCAGAAGTTTGAATTTCATTTCATGTGAATCAATGATCTAACAGCTTTTCTGGAAAGATGTTGAACACCAGAAGATCAAGCGCAAAACAGCAAGGGGTGGCCACCGAGCCTGCCTAGTCACTAGGCAACACCAGTAATCCACCTGACTTTTAGAAAACTGACTAGGATGCAATGATTCTCCCTCCCTCCGTGGATTAGAAGGGATGGACTAGGATTTTAATTATATTGAACTAAACCTCAATCCATAAGCAGGTGTCTTACTACTCTAGTACAAGACAAATTCACAACTACTAGGCCCCAAAATCAAAGGCAAGGGAAGGGGTCTATTTAGTAACACAAGTTTACATCAAAAGCCAAATGAATAAATCAAGCAGGGTACACATTTCTTAAAGGAAAAGATAGAACAGACAGTAGCTAGGAGTGCTCGAAGGTTTGTTTGCTTTTGAATTCTAATTGACTAGGATTCACATTTCTCACTAGGATTGTCATTTAAATAGGCCTTGCAGCAACAGAATGCAAGAATTATATCATTTACCACAACAGAGAGGATAAGCTACGAGCTAAGGCACATGATTGCATGTCTTGTGATAGGATCTTTGATCCTACCACGACTGCGAAGAGCGTACGGGTAAGAATGCAAGAATTATATCATTTACCACAACAGAGAGGATAAGCTACGAGCTAAGGCACATGATTGCATGTCTTGTGATAGGATCCTTGATCCTACTGCGACTGCGAACAGCGTACGGGTAAGAGATGGGAGGACGAGAGCGGAATTCACGGCGGCGCTGAGGCGCCGTGGCTGTGCAGGGAGCGGCGGCTTGCTGCGGCTTGCCCTAGGGCGTGCGTGAGAGAGAGAGAGAGAGAGAGCAGGGAGGCAGGAGGGTCACGTAGATGGCCCTTGAGGCCAGGCAAATACTATTGCCTTGCTTAATTAATTCCCAGAGTCAAGGGGTATTTATCCCCTCAAACTTACAAGCAAATCAATCACAAATCCTATAATTATAGAAATAGCAAAAATAACTATAGATAGCTGATCCATGGGCGCCTGGTTCCCTTGCCGCCGGTGTGGCCTAGCCACTGGGCCTGGGCCGGCGCTGATAAGAGATGCCCATCATAACATCTTGTCCTAATTTTAGCCTGTATCCATAAGCAAAAGATGAAAACATGACAGACATGAGTGCAAGAGTTCTATCATCTATTCATTTACCACAACAGAGAGGACAAGCTACAGCACATGCTCGCATGTCTTGCCCTAATTTCAGCCTGTATCCATAAGCTGAAGATGAGAACATGATAGACATGAAACTTGTATAACACAAGAGAATGGATGCCTTCACGGTACTCTATAAATGGGGATTGAAGATTAGAGCAGTGCTATAAAATGTATTGGTTCTACGAATTTCAGATTTGGCATTTCACATTATAGAAAAATCGATTCACCAGTCAATATGGTTAAGTGCGCTCAGTACAGGAGCAGTAGGAACTTCAGTAAATTCCCGGGGGTGGTTAAATCCTTTTAGAAACACAACTGCTGCAGTGAGGATCCTCCTCAACGCATATGGCTTGCGCATCCTCTCCGTGCAGGAGAAGGCAAATGCATGAATTGCTCATCCATTTCTTTCTACATAAATCACATATCCAAGAAACCTTGTCTTGATTTACTCTCGGTTTTCTCTATTTGGTCCAAGTTGCTAGCTGTGACTTGAGGGTCAATTTGGAGGGGAAACATAAAAAAGGAGGGAGCAAGATCAGTTGCAGGGCTTGAGCAAAAGAATTGTGCTTCAAATCCTGATAAATAAATACATTCAATTTTATGGTTTGTATTATAAGTCGCAGCGCTCTCCAGCTGCCGTGGCGTGCTGTTGCCAAGCCCATGCTAATGAGCCACTCTGTCACTTGCGTCACTGGTACATGACGCCAATCATAACAGATTCCATAGTTGTTTAAATTGCTATTAGTTGGTTGATTTGTTTAAATGATTTGTGGACTTGTCGTGAATATATTTTCACTAAATGATCAGTAGTGGTATATCTTTAGGCCATATTCTCATGTAGTGGTATGAAATATTATACATGAAACGATACTTCCCATACCATATATAGTACTCCCTCCATCCAAAAGTCTAAATCATCTTGGTAAAATTAAATTTTCCTTAAAGTCTAAATCGTCTACGCTTCTCTCTGGTATTTTGCTTGGTTTCCGGCGCTCACAACTCCTCGTATTCCCGGCTGAATTAATGCATGGCTGACGTTCCGTTTAGTCCGTTAGCCATATATTTCTTCTATCTATCAGGTCCGTTTTCTATCTACTAGGAGCCTCCGCATGCACCTCCACATGCAACAACGTTAGCATCTGTTTACATGGGAAAATGAACAGACATTCTAAGGATTAACGAGAGCATGGTGATTAAATGAAAATAGACACGCTTGATGTTCTCCTTGGTCACCGTGCCCGAGGCTTATACGATTTAGACTTTTGGATGGAGGGAGTAGCTCAGATTGAGTACAAATGTTTGAACTTCTGATAAACTATTATTTACAGGAAAGGTTAGCTTAATAGTTACTCTCTACTGTCAGTATGTACAACAAGCAAAGCTAGCAAAATCATTGCTTCACCAGAAAGTTTTTGAACTTTCAAGCATGCCTAGAAGTTTGAAATTGGACAGAATTCTGGACCTCTGAAGAAAAATTAACAGGTATTGTTTTCTGAGTTTGCATTTTATTTGAAATAAACTACCGTACCAAAAGTGGTACTTAGTGGTTGTAGGAGGTTGTGGTCTTTAGAATGTAGTGGTCTCCTGTACAAGGAGTCATTAATTTGATGCCCTGATTAACATCCCAAGTAAAGTATATCATAGCATCAGCATCCCACATCATAAAAGGCCTTTGCTGCCCTGATGAATTCAAGGCACACTGACAGACTGACAGTTGGTATTTGCTCCACAAGATGTTGAAAGATATTATTTCGGCCTAGACATAATACCATGAATATTTGTATTGGCCCTGCTCACTGTAGCGCTCTTTTAAGCTACAGTTGTTGCTGCAAAGAAATAACTACCATATATTGTAGTTAATACATCAAACAACTACAGCCACAGCTAAAAAAAGTAGTAGAAGTGATCAAGCTGGATGTAAGGCGGCATGTGATCCTACTAAATTTTTTTTTCTGTGAATGGCTATAATGTGGTGGGTACTCATATGAACGATGTATTGTATAAAAGTATAGGTATATAGGCGCCATGAGAAATGCTTGTAAAAAATACATTGTTTTTAATTTGCACGTTATTTGGGAAGGTCTACTATCTCGTGCAAATTTTGTATGGCCGTTGCAACACACGGGCCATCACCTAGTGAGGCATGTAAAAAAGCAAGCAAAACCCTGAAGCATATGTTTTACCAGATGATGAAGCACGAAACCCTAATAAGCTCGAATCAGGGCAAATATGCTTATCCCTAATCCTACAGCGAGGCCGATGATCCAACTCTAAATGCGCGTGGGATTCAAGGTTATAATAATCGCGTGGCCGAAGCCGCCAAACCCATCGAGGAGGGAGGACCAGGCAGGCGGCGCGTACCCGTTTTGTTCTATGGCTTCAGCCTCTGGCTCCTCCGGATCCTCATCCTCATCCTCGTCGTCGGTGCCGGGGAAAGCGGAGGAGGGGTCACCAGGGAAGGCGGAGTCAGCGCCGGAGGCGAGCTCGAGCTCGGAGTCGAGGAGGGCCGCGAAGTCGTCGCTCCCGCTCGACGACGACGGGGACGGCGACGGCGCCTCGGCGAGGCTCATGGGCGCGGCAGAAGGGTGTGGTGGGGTGGGGCTAGAGAGCGTTTGGAAGAAGGGAGGTGAATCGAGACTGGGCTTTTCTTATTCTGGTGCAGAGAGTACCAGGAAGCAATGAAGTTGACGCGGATGACCGAGAGGGCTGAAAGAGGAGAGAAAAAAAGCGGCCCAAAACATGCAGGTTGTAGATGCCGAGTACGGCGTGGGTGCATTGCTATTTGGGCCAGAAAATAGTTAGTCCGGCCATGTAACTCCTAACTCGCGAGACAGACCTGCAGATTGTGAGGCCCGCCAGAAAAAAAAAAAAAAAAATGGTCAGGCTGGCCCCCTGCAGATTGTGCGGCCCGCCAGAAAAAAAAAACAAAAACAGGCGTGGTCGGCAGGATTCGAACCTGCGCTCACTCCGGCACAACCACTTGCATGTCGCTTTCGTTCCGAGTAACTCCTTATAAAAGATGTGTCGTAACCAAACAAAAATAGAAAATGTCGCTCTTATCCGCACCAGGAAATCTATCTAGTCGTCGCCACGCCCCACGCTGGAGTCGTTCAGCTTTCATCAGCCAGCGACCCTGCTTGTCGCATTAGTGGAACACAGAGCGGACGCCAGAGCTCGTGATTTTGTCCCGGAATCTCCCACCACAAATCCACTCTCGCTTGGCGAAATGGCGATGCCCGGCCGCCACCTGTTCCTGTGGGCGTGGCAGGCACCGGGTCCAAATCAGCAGTTGCGTCCGCTGTATTCATCAGCTCGGCTCGGACGCAACGCTGCACCTCACGCCGTCTAATTAAATCGCCCACAAGCAAGCAAACGTTTCCCGAGCCGAGCAGCCAACACAGGGGCGAGATTAATGGACCTACAGTTTCAGAGCAGGCTCCTCCCGTTGTCGGCTGTCAGCTGGCGGAATCGGCTGATAACTCGTCGTGCAGGGCCTTAATTGCGTGACAATTCGGCATCGTCGACGTGAGAGTGATCGGATGGCGGTCTAAGTCTAATCTAATCACCCTGACACCACTGTAACACAAAGCAGAGGGTGGGCGGGCGGCACGCGCGCATCAGGAGATGGCGACACATGCCGTGTGCCGGCGTGCGTGCACCGCTGCATGCGCCTGCGCGCGGTACGACGGATCATGGATGGATATCCTGACCTGACCACAGATTCCGGACTCTGGAGGTAGTACAGTACAGTATATGGCACGCACGCGTCTTTTCGGCGCCGCTGTTGCGCAGTCAATGCACGCACGGTAGGTATGGCGGTCGGCGTATGGACGGAGGGCCGGGATCCCTGGCGGCGGCGGGCCGGCGGCACCGCAGGCCGCAGCATGGATGCACGCGGCGGTCGTCGTCCTTGCTTGCGGCAGGGTGCACCGGTACCGGCTGACCGGAAATCTGCCCGCCCGGGGTACGGTGATCGATTCCCTTGCCGTACTTGTTCTCCCGCGGCTGTAGTTGGCTTGTCGCGTTCGTCGCCGCTGCTGGGTGTGTGTGGGTGAGTTCGCTTGCCTTGACCCGATCAGGCGGCGGCAGCGCGACCGCGACGCCGGGTCAGCGCGCGACTGACAGACAGGCTCCATGATTCTTGCCCTTGGGCCTGGCTTAACCAACCGGAGCCGGAGTCCCCACACCGTAACGCGGTTGGGGCGCCCTGGAAACACGAAACCTGTAGCTTGCTGCTTGCGTGACTGCTCTGCCGGCAGCCGGCGCTCCTCCGACGGCCAAGGGCCAACTAGGCTGTTTGTCCGTCTTTAGCTCGGTGCACTACTGCCATTCTATTTTTCGGATATTTAGTAGTTTATTTAAGGAACGGATTGCTTTTGTTCAGTTGCCGTGGACCATGCTGGTCGTCCCGTCCGTCCGCCCTGTACTGACACATGGGCCCAGAAACGTGGTCGTCCTGCACTGCTGCCTATTTCCCTTTCTTTTTTCGAAGACGCCTGGCTCAGGGTTCTCTATCCTCTTTGATCTTCCCCAGCGATTTTTTTATTATTTTTATCATTTTTTAAAACTAATTTTAAATCTAACATCGTTTTTTTTAAACTAACACTTTTGCCCGCGCCTATTTTCATGGCGCGGCGAAACGCCTGTGTCGCGCCATGTACGGTGGCGTGGCGAGGGGATGACGTGGCGACGGCCGGGGCGCTAACCGGTGACGTGGCAGGGTCTGTCGCGCCACCGATCTTGGCGCTTCAGTGCCGCGCCACGGCCCACGGCGCGGCAGGACCTGGACGCAGACAGAAGCCGACCAGCCTCAATTCTAATTGAACGGGAGCTGTTGTCGGTGCTGTAAACAACTACAAGTGCTACCACGATGCATTGAAACGAATACGAAGCAAATAAATGAAGTCCGTGCGCAAGTTGATAAGTTGTCACATAACATTTTCATTGGTTCGACATAAGTTCGACATAAACAACTAAGTCTGCAAGTTTCAGACGACAATATAAGTTCGACATAAGTTCGACATAACCAACTAAGTCCCAGGAGTGTAAGGATCCCTCGGACGTCTCTGTCTCTTCGGATTTATAGGCAACACATTGGGAGTGTAGCCAACGTCGGTGTGGTCGTGTTGCCGGTGCGTATGGCTTGTACCCTGCAAGTATATGATATGCACGATTACTTATAATCTTTATGATCGTTAGTTCATAGAGCCTATGTATTTAAAGAAACTACATTTGTTACTACCTGTGAGGCTCCTTGGGTACCAAGCGGGGCAATACCTAGCTGAGACATGCCGATCTTGTCCTGCTGCCAAGGGTCCCACTGGTGGTGCTGTATGCGGAAGCCCGGGGGGTCGTCGTCATCGTCATCGTCGTCTTCGTTTGTAGGGTCCTTCCCAGCGCTATAATGTGGTGGTGTACGCACAGCGGAAGCGGCACCTGTCACCCGCTGAGAAGAGCTGGCTGGTGTCCTAAAAGAGCCAGAAGACGTGCCACCCGACCGCGCCGGGTAATCGGGTTCCACCCAAGGAGTGTCCATGCAGCTCAACTTCTGAGCTAGCTTCCTGCAGCTCCGCTTCACCTTCTGCATGAATAGACGTTAAAGTTAGTGCATTTCTCAAACGCATATGCACTAAAGAAACATTTTTGAAATGGATAAGTTTATGTTTACCTCCACAAAAGCCTCGAGAACGCCTGGCCTGTAACACCTCGGTGTTAAGCATGCATTAACATTTTGCAAATCATGAGCATAATCCTTATTATGCATTCATAAGCATGACATGAAATATAGAATTAAAACATACTAATGAAACATGTATGTTGTATAGTTTTGTTTTAATAGATTGGATACTATGTTTGTTTTGCCATGTGTGTACCTCGGTTGATCACTTAGACCAATTAGAAGTAGCTAAGATGCAATTTGGAGCAAGGTGTATATTCAAAGTTTTCTCAAATTTTGCTTTTAAAAATAATCTTCTAAAATTGGGTTTTTGATTTAAATTAACTTTAAATCTATAGTTCAAAATCTAATTGGATTTTGGTCTTACTCTTTTTGGCAAAGTTGTAGAGTACTTTTTTCTGAACAACTTTCATTTTTACACCAGCTTGTGAAAATGCTTTTAAAATGGCTCAAAATGGAATTTTAGTTCTATTTATTTAAGAAATAAAAAGAAAAATCATTTTATTTTCCTTAGCGGGCCGCCGCTTCCCTTTCGGCCCAGCTCGCAGAGCCGGCCCGGCTGCCTCCGCGCCCGCCGTCCGCTCCCGCGCGCCACGCCCTACCGGCCTCAGAGCTCGGTGGCCGCGTGTCCGTACGCCGTCGTCGTCGCTCACCGCGTGGACACCGGTGGCCCCCGCGCCCCTCCGGTCGCGCCTACACCCGCCGCGCCGCGTCTGCCTCCCCCTCCTCCATCCCATTTGCTTTCTCACTCGGACAGCAGCAGCAGCGCAAGCGCTCACCTCCGCCACCGCCCGCACCAGCGCCTCGCCGGAGTTGGCTCGTCCGGCCACTGAAGCTCGCCGTCGACCGCCCCATCTCGCCCTGTGCTCCTCCTTCACCTCGTGCATCCCGTGCTAGCACCTTATCACCGTGGTAAGCTATGAGTCGCCGGTAATCGCTCACCGGAGCTTGGTCGAGTTCACCGGAGATGCGTCGCTCCGTGGACCTCGTCCCTCCGTCCTCCTTCTCGCCTCCTTTTTGCGCACACGAGCACCGCACGAACACGGGGTAGCTCGCCAGCCACTCCCAGCGCCACCTCTCGGTCGGAGCTGGCCGGCCGACGTTGAGCCACGCCACCGCGCCGCCATGGACGCCGGTGAGCTTGCTCCCGAGCTCCACTGGCCGCGGTAGGGGTACTGCTAGGTCCGCCTTGTCTCGGGGAAGCCTCCGGTGGTGACCTCACCGCCGGCAAGTTCACCGGCGGCGAGAACCGCCGCGGCCGAGCGCCTCCCCTGCCTTAGTGACTGACCGGTGGGGCCAGGGGGCCCACTGTCAGCCGCTGGGGTGCAAGCCTGGGTAGAGATCCGGGTGGATCTAGCATTTTTGAACCGGGATTTTCAGAAAAGAATAAAAGAAATGATTGACAGATTTTGTTTAAAGGCTTTGGAAATTTATAACTTGCTCAAAATGGCTCCAAATTTATTGAAATAAGTTTTGCCAGGTTTCTTGTGGCTATATCTATCTGCTAAAAATATTGCATGTCAAATTTGTGATACTTTTCTGTGTAGCTTTATTTAAATTGAATAAATGCTGATTTCTTAGAAAATATCTAGTAAATAGAATATACATCAAAAAAATATGGTTCTAGTTTTGTTAATCTCCTTTAGTGATGTACTTTGTAGAAAAAATATATGTCATACATGTTCTGTAGAGAAATATTGATGTGTAGTTCAAGTGCCTTTAATTGATGATTTTTGTTATTTTGATAGAGAGCAAAAATTATATAAAACATGTGTATGATATATTTTGTGCAGTGATTGTTTACTGTGTAGAACATAGGAAAAATACCAAATCTGTTGTTTGACACTTTTCATAGTACAAAGTATTTTCATGCTTAATTATCAATCATAGCTT